TCCCAAAACGACTCGAGCCTCCTACAATCCATCCAAAAGCACTGCTTACACCATTTCACTATTCCGTATCGCCGACTAAATCGCCGCCCCATGTCGTTCTTCCATTTCAATCCAAACGCCACGGCACCAGGCACAAAATTTCAGCGGACGCCGGTTTCCCATGCCCAGCAATCTGCGATCGGAAAGCGAATCGATAAGAACAAGAAACCGGTCAACAAAGAGCCTCCTAAGATACGTGAAAGTCAAGTAACCAGCTCAAATGTGAAGGCAACAGACATTCAGAACCAGAACCTAGATTTGCGTATCGATACAGGCGACAATGATTGGGATTCGCTGCGTAGTCTCTTCTATGTCGACGATTCCGATCCACCGGATACATCGATGTCCATCGCTACAAATAAACGATCCCGCGACTATGAAGATGATGAGGAGAGCAACACCAGTTTTACCCCAAAGTGCAGCGGCTCTTCCAGTGACAGCGACAGCGACAGTGTTGTGCTGGATACCAACTCGAGCAAAAATATGCCGGGGCTGTTTTACAAACGAAGTGATGTGGTGTCTAAGCCCCGAGTCCAGAGTGCTGCAGGCAGCAAAGGTACGTCCCTTTCCTCGTCAATTTCTTTAGTTCCCCGCCATCCACTCCATTCTCGCGTGGGTTCTTACGAATGTTAGACACATCCATCGCCATTGACGATGGTGTCCGGGATCTGAGCGACGATGATAGGATCCCAATTTCCCAAACCGCGCCAAGTACATGCAGCTTGGCACCCAGTGTCGGGAGTGATGACGAGTCCGGCTCTGAGGGTCGGACCCCACCGCCGCCAATGTTGATTGAAGATGGCGGAGTGACAACAGAGGAGTGGTTGGTTGATGAGATCTTGGCGGGGGATGATGACCGAGGGATGCGGTGGTACTTGGTGAAATGGAGAGGCTACGACCCTTCTTGGCAGCCTGAACATGATCTGATCCCTGGATGTGAGGAGTTGGTCCATGAGTTCCAGGCCAAATCGGGGAAGGTAGAGAGTCACGGATCCCTTAAGCGGCGTGGGAGACCGCCTTTGAGGAACCGCTCCAAGAAGGCGCGGTTTACATTTTAGCAGCAACTTGTTCTTGTATTGATTCAACTTGTTCTCGTCTCATTTTTGCATTGGATAAACGTCTAATGATACTCCATTGTTGCCCTTCTGTACAAATGAAGTGAGGAATCTTTCCTCACTTGCTATGTAAAATTCTATTTCTCATTGTAAAAGCATGATGGCCACGGTGCATAGTTTTGACACCGCCACCAATTACAAGAAGGGCCACGATGCGCCATGAGAAGTGGTCAATGCTATCTACAGCGGTACATCATGATTTTCATGGCAGCTGCGAAATATTCCATCGCAACAAAAGTAATCGCGACCTCCGTTACCTAATCACTTTGACACTCAATCAAAGATATCGTATCGTCGTATGCCTTGATAATGGGAATGTATGAGCGTTTGGGTCTTGCGAGGTACCAATGATAATTCCTCTGCACCCATGTGTCAGTATCAATTTCGGCTCTGATTTGTTCCGTACTTCTTCTGTCTTGATTGTTACCCGTTTGCTTTGGTTCCCTCTGTTTGATTTTTGTTTGCTTAGCACATTTGAATCCGGCCCACGAGCTCCATTGACATTGCCTATCACATTCCAGCCGAGGGTCTATCTTGCCTACGTCCCATGGTACAGTCTTTATATTGTGTGTGTTTGTTTGCTCGTTGCCCTCATTTCTTTGTCTCCCACTTTTGTTTTGCTTCGAATCATTTGTATTCACGTATTTTGTCTAGAGAGAAGTATAAAGACCTCTCTAGTTCTGAATATCAATATTTCTATTCTTAAACCGTAATAACCATGCTCTACAATTCAACTGGAAAGTCACATCTCAACAGAAACCCTATCACCACAATGCCAAATGCCATCATGCGAAGACCTACAGCAACCGCCTCCACAAATGCCAAGGGCGGCGACAATACATCTCTGCATAACATAATCATGGAGATCCATCTCAATCCATATATTAGTGAAAGAATGCTATATCAAAAGACAAAACAAGGCAATCCAAGCTATTGAAGAGAATCATCCAGAAACGATGAAACGTAACCCGTAAAAGGATAAATTTGTATTAATTTACTGCATCTGAGTTATATTGTGCATCTTGAAGCGTTTCAATCATGTTCCGGGGTAGGTTGGGATTTGGTTTCTTCCACCGTCCGCCGTCTGGAAAGACAAGGCGCCGCAACCGGTTGACGCAAGGGATCAATGATCGATAATACGGAGTAAAATAGCCTTGCGCAATCCGAACAAAATCTTCCTCCTCGCTTATCACTCCTTGCTTCGCAGCCGCCAGCTCTTCAGTACTCATATAATTCCATTTCTCAAACCGTTCGACAGTGCTCCCCTTCCCTGGGCCTTCATAGTGAATGCATATCCAGAACAGAACCCAGAAGAACGACTCCAGATCATGCATGAAACAATGCTTTTCACCGTACAAGACACCGATGGCCATGAACGCCCTGGTGCCCGTCTTGCCCTGGGCGCCGGAAGACCCGTCCCGTTGCGTCTTGATGGCCAGGTCAAGGTCGATCAGAAAGGCAGGCCATGAAGGGTTATCCTTGTCCTCGTTCACCATCAGGTTCCGGGGGGAAACGTCACATTGGATGAGGCCAGCCACATCATGGAGCGACATGTATCCGTCAATACAGCCGGCCAGCTCAGTGAGAAGTGTAGACTTCGAGCTACTCTCATAGATTGGTTTCCCACAATCCCGGATAACGATGCGGCGGTGAACTCGATTGCGTCGGGTAGAGCCGTCGGCAGATTTGGACGGAGAACTTGACTTGGTTACGTTTACTTGGGGGAGGAGGAAATGCCATGTCCACGCAGTCAGAGGATCGTTTTTGGGCCGGTGCTGCTGCCCTGGCGCTTTTGT